GATTATACTTTTTGGTTTTTAATATGTAACCCGTAAAACAGATGTAATTTAGTAACTCAATTACACATTTAGAGATTGACCCGTGGGACATTACATTTATAGAATATCAGAATTTAGATATGAAATTAGTGAAAACCAAAACATACATAGAAATAAAATCAGAAAACATAAAACATTAAGGCAATGAATGTTTGGGAGATTTTAGATTTTTATTTTATTTTTTAGTTTTTAGTTTTTGTTTTTGGTTTTTGAATTATGTAAAAATAAAAATAAAAACAAATGTAAAATTAAAAAAAAAAGATCTAACTAAACAATATAACCAAACAATAAACGATTTAAAGCCCAAGAAACAAAACCGAAGCCTAATAATTTAAAAAGACAAATACCCAAATTGAGTACTTATTCTGTGTTAGTAATATTCATGTTTATATTACCCTGCGGGTCAAATTATTTTTTAGGGATGTAGTATTATCTAAACGATTAGTGAGGATTTCAGCTTTTAGTAGACCACTATGTCAATTTAAAAGATATCATAAAATCTAAAATGTGACCCGTGGTAGGATAAAATCTAATATTATTGGGGTATAGAACTTTGTCAACCGTCCATATAATTCTTATAACATTTGATTCGATTTTAGATTAATAAATTTTGGTTTGGTTCACTTCAATTCGGTTTGGTTTATCTTCCCACTCAACCGTTGAACGAACTTAGTCTGAGTAAATAAAAAATCCGTGCACATTACATTTAGCCCCAAAATGCCTCTCTATCTGGTGGAGCGACACCAAAACTAAGCTTTATCATTTTCCAGAGAATCGTCTCTTTGGGTAATCGGAGAATCACAAAAAAAAAATGGGAACCATAGGATGAGCTATTTACACTGGGTAATTGGATTCATGGGATTGGTCAAGCTTTTGATCGTGTTGGTTCTCTTCTTCAAGGAAGCCGCGACATCGTAAGCTCTCAGATCCTTCCACCTCCTACGCTCTATTGAACCCTATATACAATTCTTATTAATTGAACGCTAGATCCAATTCTCTATATCTAATTTGTGTTTTCACCAGAAAAAATACATTTGATTCGAGAATTTTTTGTGGTTAGATTGAAAACTTTAATTTGGGAAATTTGTTGTTGTTTTCAGTGTCGAGGCATCGGGCGTTGATGAATGTGTTTGATTCACCAAACACGTATTGGCGCCGCATCCAATTAAAATGGAAATCGAAAGATAAGATTTTATCGTTAAGATCTTAGGTAAGCAACTCCCTCAACTCATCTTAACGGCCAATTCCCCCCTGAACTATGTTGCTTTATCGTTTCCATACACAAAACTTTCATATGTGCTTAAACCCTCATGTACTTTACAATAATTTGAATTTTCATCACAAACTTTACAAATCCGGTAAAAACCCTCAAATTGCTAGATGGTGTTACTGTTCCGTTAACGGATGCTGACGAGGACGACACGTGAGCGTTTAAAACGACTGCGTTTTGACATACATGGATTCTCATTAGCCACAGATACAAAACGACGTCGTTTTGAACAAAACAAAACGACGTCGTTTTGTAATTTGGGGGTTTTAATCGAATTAGGGTTCATAAACATTCCCTTCGTCGAGCCAAAATCGAGACTTTCAGAGCAAAAGCGAGAGTGACGGTCTGAGTCGAATTAGGGTTTTAATCTTCTCACTATGTCGTTTCAGAGCAAAAGCAAAACCCCCATCAGCTCCATCACTTTGGCAAATGTGTCATTTCGCCTTTTTTTTCCCACCAAAACTAATGATTTTCCATGGATCCGGAGCTAAATATTTATTAAAAACAAATGAAAATAAAAAAGAAAAATGGCATAATTATTTGCGCATTGGTGGCGTTGATAATGGATGTCCAAGGAGGAGGGAAGCGCCGGGATTGCAAAATTAAGGAAAATTATTAAGACGAAGAAGAAGAAGCTCCATCAGATTTTGCAGAGCAAAGCAAAGAACTTCAACAAGGAATAATGCAAGAAATTGATGAAGCTGCTCGAATTAGATCTGTAAGTGAAAATGATTGCTCGACTTCGAATCCTGGGTTTTGGCCTTTTGGGATTGAAATTTTCTCGGAAAAAATTGTTTTTTTTATGGGGTAATATTCTTGAGATAAGGATAATATTCTTTATTAGGGTTTTCATTATCACGAATTTTCTTATTAGTCACTGAGCAAAAGCAAAACGACATTTTCACGAATTACAAAATCCCCAAATTACAAAACGACGTCGTTTTGTTTTGTTCAAAACGACATCGTTTTGTATCTGTGACTAATGAGAATCCACGTATGTCAAAACGCAGTCGTTTTAAACGCTCACGTGTCGTCCTCGTCAGCATCCGTTAACGGAACAGTAACACCGTCTAGCAATTTGAGGGTTTTTACCGGATTTGTAAAGTTTGTGATGAAAATTCAAATTATTGTAAAGTACATGAGGGTTTAAGCACATATGAAAGTTTTGTGTATGGAAACGATAAAGCAACATAGTTCAGGTGGGAATAGGCCGTTCTCCCTAAGATCATCTTAAGATTTTTTTAAGAACCCATTAATAAAGATGGTCTTGGTCTCTCAAATTTCGAAACTTAGAAAATGGAGGCCCTATTGAGAAATAAGCCCAATATGATAATTATCATATTAAAAAGAAAAAAAATAAATGACACGTGTACCCTAGAATCTCTAACTTTCATCTCCTTCCTCTCTCTTTCCCCCAACTTTGAGCCGCCGCGGCAATGTTTTTCTCAGGCGACGCCTAAATCTACAGCGACCTCCGGTATCTCAATCACCAAACCATGCCTCCCAATTTCTACACTGAATCAACAACAACGAAACAATCATGGTTTCTCGACGAAGACATCTGTGAAGAAAGACTTTAAATTTCCCTGAGCAAGCCATGGATTCATCATCGACGAAATCGAAGATCTCTCAATCACGCAAGACGAACAACAAGTCAAACAAGAAGCATGATTCAAATGGGAAACAACAATCTAACAAGAAACAACAAGAAGACGATGGTGGAGGTTTGAGATCATCATGGATCTGCAAGAATGCATCTTGTAGAGCTAATGTACCTAAAGATGATTCCTTTTGCAAGAGATGTTCTTGTTGTGTTTGCCATGGTTTCGATGAAAACAAAGACCCTAGTCTTTGGTTAGTTTGTGATCCTGAGAAATCAGATGATGTTGAGTTCTGTAGCTTATCGTGTCACATTGAGTGTGCGTTTCGTGAAAACAAAGTTGGTGTTGTTGGTCTTGGGGATCTGATGAAGCTTGATGGTTGTTTTTGTTGTTACTCTTGTGGCAAAGTTTCTCAAATTCTTGGGTAAAGTTTCTTTCTTTGAGGATACATAGTTAGATGTCGCAGTTCTGATCTATTTGCATATGTTGTTGTGCCTTTGTATAACCTATTGTGTGTGTTTATGAAGATGTTGGAAGAAGCAGCTTGTGGCAGCGAAGGAAGCACGTCGGCGTGATGTACTGTGTTATAGGATAGATTTGAGTTATAGACTGCTCAATGGGACTAGTCGGTTTAGTGAATTGCATGAGATTGTTAGAGCTGCTAAGTCTAAGCTGGAAGATGAAGTTGGGCCTCTTGATGGACCTACGGCTAGAACTGATAGGGGCATTGTTAGTCGGCTTCCTGTTGCAGCTGATGTGCAAGAGCTCTGCACTTCTGCAATAAAGAAGGCAGAGGAGGTTTCAGCCAATGCAGCCAGAGGTTAGTATTAGAGATATGTTTATTGCAATGAATCTGAAAGAGAGAGTAATGAAATAAGTTCTTGTATATGTTTTGCAGATTTAGTTCCTGCTGCGTGTAGGTTTCATTTCGAAGATATTGCACCAAAACAAGTGACTCTTCGTCTGATTGAGCTACCTAGTGCTGTAGAGTATGATGTTAAGGGTTACAAGTTATGGTATTTCAAGAAAGGAGAGACGCCTGAGGATGATTTATTTGTTGATTGCAGTAGAACTGAGAGGAGGATGGTGATATCTGACCTTGAGCCTTGCACAGAGTACACATTCCGTGTTGTCTCTTACACAGAAGCTGGTATATTTGGCCATTCGAACGCTATGTGCTTTACGAAGAGCGTTGAGATATTGAAACCAGTGGATGGTAAGGAAAAGAGAATAATTGATTTAGTAGGTAATGGTCAGCCTTCAGATAGAGAGGAGAAAAGTAGCATTTCTTCAAGATTCCAAATTGGGCAACTTGGGAAGTATGTGCAGTTGGCTGAAGCTCAGGAGGAAGGCTTGCTTGAAGCGTTTTACAATGTAGATACTGAGAAAAGTTGTGAGCCGCCAGAGGAAGAATTGCCATCTCGACGGCCGCATGAGTTTGATCTAAATGTAGTTTCGGTGCCAGACTTGAATGAGGAGTTCACTCCTCTACCTGATTCTTCTGGAGGTGAAGACAATGGAGTGCCGTTAAATTCGCTTGCTGAGGCTGATGGTGATGAGCATGATAACTATGATGATGATGTGTCTAACGGTAGTCGGAAGAACAACAATGACTGCTTGGTTATATCAGATGGAAGCGGTGATGATACTGAATTTGATTTCCTCATGACCAGGAAGAGGAAAGCAATTTCAAACAGTAATGACTCAGAGAACCATGAGTGTGACAGTTCGCCGATTGATGACACTCTGGAGAAATGTGTGAAGGTAATCAGGTGGCTGGAGCGTGAAGGCCACATTGACAAAACATTCAGGGTCAGGTTCTTGACATGGTTCAGCATGAGGTCAACCGCTCAGGAGCAATCCGTTGTGAGCACATTTGTGCAGACTCTAGAGGATGATCCAAGTAGCCTTGCTGGCCAGCTTCTCGATGCATTCGCTGATGTTGTCTCCACCAAAAGGCCAAACAATGGAGTAATAGTCTCACACTAATCAGCTTCTTTATTCAACCAACATTCTTTCTTAGTACGAATAATATGATTAGAACAAAATAGTCCATGATTTCTCTAACGTGGATTCGGATATTTATAATCAATTTGGACCACAGGATTGACCACATTGCAATCTATTTGGATTGGGTTTTAGATTTAGGATTTGACGTAAAAAAAATGACTCATGACGGCAAGTCTTTTGCCTCTGTTCCATGTTTCTGTTTATTATCTATAAAACTAAAGAGGTCATGTGAACCAACCGTCTGTTGTGTACTCACTATGACCTGTTTTGGTCAATTTTCAAACTCAATTGATTACATCACGTTTCTGTTATTGTTTTTAAGCAAAAGCAGTTATTTTTAGCAAACCAAATATAAAATATCGGTTGAACGATACACTTTGCGCAGAGACAAGAGCTTCCTTCTATTTGAGTAAGCACTTTCCACCTCCAGCTTCCAATATTTAAAGTTTATCCAAAAAATGGTTAATCTCCATTATATGTTAGCTGCTGGGTGAAAGACAGCCATGCTTTAGGTCTTGCAATAGCCCCGAAAATATCATGCGCCTCGGCTGCAAAGATGACCCTATTCATCTTGAGGCTATGAATAGAGTCCATTGCATTGCCCAAGTCAGACACATAAGCATGACCTCTTTCTTGTTGTTCACACCACAAAAAACTATTCTACTATGAATAATGGCCTTGCCACTCTCATCTCTAACCACCTATGCACCTCCACCCACTTTATTCATGTTAGACCAAGAGAGAGCAATATTACACTTAACTCACTGTTTTGGAGGTCGAACCTACCTCTTGTCATTCGTTCTGGTTTCAGTACCATTCTCCTCCTCCACTCTCTTAGAAACATTTGTGACAAGAACCACTCATCCACTTCCTCCAAAACTTTCTCCATGGTATCATGCGGACTGAAACATAAGCCTTCAAAGAAAACATTGTTCCTATTTTTTGAGAGACGCCACAAGATCCATGGGAAACATCTTTTAGTCCTTAGATCCAGTCTTTTATCAATAAAGATCTCATACAAGAATTGGAAGTTAGCATATAAAGAACTCATATTAAAACCAAGTCTTGGAGTAGGGATCCCCGAGAGGGCCCATACATGTCTTGCCAGGGAGCAAGTGAAGAGCACATGATTGGTGGGTTCTGTCTCTTCACCACAAGTCTGACATCTCACATCAATCTTCATTCCACTGTGAGCACACCACTTAAAGCTCTCCATTGAAATATTCTGACCAATTGGCGCTGTTTGGATAGACCAAATTATTTACTTCAACTTATTGAGAGATGGCTGCATTCTGGCTTGTTGCAAAAACTCAGCATTGTT